CATCCACTGCCTGGGAGTGTACACTAGCAACATGACTGCTTCCACTATCACGCTCCATTTGGTGCACTGCCGAGGTGTTTGTCAGACCCCTAAAGGCACCAAGCCCATCACGCCTGGACTGCGCTCACCTGGAGCTGGGTCTCTCAAACGTGAGTTAGTCACCCCAGATGCATCTGACCCCAAGAGAAGGAAGATGGTAGACCAGTCTAGGTATTACCCTACAGTCTTTGTTGAGAAGCCAGAGGAGCCGGTCGTGTTGGCATTGGATCCGAAAGGTCATGGTGACGAGTCCTATGAAGCACGGAAAGCTTTCCTTACAGCGTATTTCAATCGACATCCCTACCCTTCCCAACGGGAGATCGAGAAACTTGCTGCAAGCCTCTGGTTGTGGAAGTCCGATGTCTCGAGCCATTTTGCCAACCATCGGCGCTCGTGTGACCGAGACTTAGACTCCCGCAAACCTGTTGTGTTACTAGGCTTTAACATGCGGGCAGTAAGCCAGCTCAAGCATGACATGAGCTTTGATGCCAGCTGGCTGTTTGAAGTCAACGACGACGAAAAAAGTGGATTCTCAAGGACCTCAAGATTTAGGCTGAAGTCTCCTGTTGGTTTCTCTACAGACTTCAAGGGGAAAAAGCAGCCATTAAACACTGGACAAAGTAGTCAAAGCAACTGTGCCTTCAAACCATGCCCTGGATCATCCTCAGAACCTATTGCCATTGACTCTGACAGTGATTCAGAGCCAGAAGTGATGCCTAATGAAAATCTTAATCAACAAACTGCAGCGTTAAGGCCTTCAGTAGTTCAGTCCCACACAAAAGGGACATTGCTGCGAGAGAGCTTCCCTTGCGAAAGAGATGTCAGGGGGAGTAGAAGTTCTCCCAGACTTGGGCCAAAAAGTCTAGATGGCGCCGTTTCTAGTTCCAGTCCTGATGAGGCGACCTGGTCTGGCAGCATGTCTTCTAAAGAGAGCCACTACAGACCAGCAGGACGATTCGAAGTGAAGGGGAAGAAAGTTGGGTTGCTTGGTAGATGATGACTTATGGTGACAGTCCCCTTTCTCTTCTATCTATTCATGCTCAGATTTGTAGGTCAGAGCTTTTACCTCACATTTGGCTGACATTGAACATTATGATATGAACTGAGTAAAACATGTAAAGTTGGAGGAGTTACACAGTTTTACTGAACGTACTGTTTACTCTCAAACAACTCTGCTGTCAAAAAAGCAGAAAAACTAATATACTGTATACTGTTTTTTTTTTTCCAACCGATCCATAGTCCTTGGTGAGTTTTTTTTTCTTTTTCTTTTTTTGTATACTGTTCTCTGTA